AATTAAGAAGACACATGGACACATTAAGAAGAAACAGGGACTACACATTTTATTAATTTTTGTTCTATGGGCTGTTTTAAGAGGACACAGTGTGTTTCCAGTCATGGCTTCCTAAGTTCCATCTTTTTTCTTTTCTAAGGCACCTGAAGCTGGAAACATTTCTGCTTGGCTGACACACCAGTGGGTGCAGGGCAGGAGGAACAGGTGACAGAGGGATAATATTCCTGACAAAGTCTTAATATGGGCTACAAGGAAAAATACCATGAAAAGGCAAATCCAGGAGGGTGGAAAGGAGAGGGAAAACACATTTAAAACCAGCTCCAGCTCATAAAACATCTCCAGCTGATATTCTCTCTATTTTATATATATATATATATATATATATATATATAAACATATATAAATATTCTACTGCATATTTACTGACTGTTCAGCACAGGGAGAGTGCAAACACAGGATGAATTTCCACACAGGATTTTCCCTCTGTGGGAAGAGTATTGTCTGATTTGGTTGGTGTGCCAAGACACAAGACTGGCAGCGCAGGCAGAGCTGATCCAAGGCCAGGCAGAGCAAGACTGGCACAGATTTCTTTGAATCAAGAGAGGAGTCACGGCAGGTGTGCTGTCCTCCACTCGGAGGGCAGGCGGCATTGCTTCCAGGTGTGCTCCCAGAGAGCCGCCACTTCTCCGAGGCTGCGCCAGGTGGAGGGAATCCCTCACCCCTCACCCTGGGGCCTGCCGGGGAGAACTGGCACCCGCTGCTGCCGGTGCCCGGGTGCACGTACCTGGCGTCCCGGCACTGCCGGATCCTGCCCGTCCGTTCCTTGTGGCGGGGCGCGGCCGCGGGACGGCAGCGGGGGGAGCGGGGCATCCGCGGCTCAGGGGCCGCGCTGCCGCGGGGGAGGGGAGTTAGAGGGGCCGGCGGCCCCCCAGGTAAGTGCTCTCCTGCCCGCGGGCGTGCGCACTTGCGCTTGAATAGCTGCGTCATCCCTTGGGAGCTGCAGCCCGGGCACGTGTGTTTTCCAAGGCTGCGGGCTCCTGGCATCGATGGGAACAGGACAGGATGTTTGGGCAGGAGCTGGGGGGTGCCCTCAGCACTTGTCCTTGGGCAGTCCAAAGAAAGGGTGTTTTATGGCGTTCCCAGGAACTGCTCCAACAGCTGTAGACTTCCCCCTGCCTTCTAAGGCTAAGGATGTGGTGACAGCCAGAAGACAATTGGTGGGATTGGAGGCCACTTGCTGCCTTTTGGTCAGATGTGTAACTTGTGTAATGGGTGTGTTTCCTAGGAGAAAACATTCCGTAGTAGCAGAATGGTTTCCATAGACACCAAGTGAGTGCCACACAGTAGCGTGAGCCTTCAGGTCCTGCAAGCCCTCCTGCAGACTTAGTGAAGTATTGAAGTGTGAACTGACTGCTGGGAGCACTGATGGGCACGGCAATCTACAGCTGTGGTTCTTGGAACAGTGGTGGCTTGTGGCTGAAGTGCTGCTGTTTGAGAGGGCAGCAGTGGTGTCTGCTGCTGGGCAGATGCCTGGGAGTGGGTCGTATACAGGGGGCAGCGTAGGCAACACGAGCAGGATGTTGGAAGACGTGGGATTTCCTTGAAACTTCACCTGTTCGTTAGCTTTCCTCCCGTGGCTTGGAGTCTCTTCTGACCCGTGTCAGATGGTGGGGTTTCTTTGGTTTGATTTGATTTGGTTTTTCTCGATCAAATGAAAAGGGTGGGTTTTAAGAAACGTTGGAGAGAGCTGTCTAATGTTTCCATCAGGGCATCCAAGCTGTCTGCTGTCAGTGCAGAAAGGAAGGCAAGCTGCAGGGTTATTATTGGCAAAGTGATGAAATAACGTTTATTGTTGATTGGGCCCTTTATCGTTCTTAAAAATGAAGGAAAGACTTCCGAAAAGCAACGTTGGTCTTGCAGGACGTTTATTTTGCCAATCTGTGCTCCTGGAATCCCTGAGGTCTTTGGGGGCGAGGGGGGGGGGGGGGGGCGCGCGGCTGCAGTGGCGCCCCCGGCCGTGTCCGCCAGGCGGCGACTGTGAGGCAGGGCCCGGCGGTCGGGGCGGGCTTGGAAGCAGCGCCCGCGGAGAGCGAGGCGTTGGCCGGGCCGGGCCTGAAGCGCTCGGGGCCGCCGGGCAGGGCAGTGGCCGGGAACCGGCCGGGGGCGGGGTGGTGGTGGTGGGAGGTGGCCGCCTTCCACGGGTTTTCAAGAGAATAATAACGAAATTTAACAATAAAATAAAAATTTAAAAATACAACAAAAAACGCATTAAACCCGGAAATTTTTCTGCAGGAAGTGGGCTGTGACAGGGGAGTTGTCTCCAAGAAGGCCCAGGATCGGGGCGGGCTCTGCGGCGGGGACGACTGCCCCTGCCGGACGGGGAAAGGCACCTTCCCCCCACTCCCGAAAAGCTGGGAAGGGATAACATCTACCTGCAGCTGCCTGGAATTGCTGTTGGCCCTGGGCTTTCTGTGCCGCTCGTGGCCACGGGATGATGGCAGGATCACGCCAGCCCCGGGGCCTTCAGGGTGTTATAAGTAAACTGAAACTTAGGCTAAAATATAGCAGCAAAAATTAATTAAAGATTTATATAAATTGCAAATAAGCAAAACAGCGCGCTGGGCTGCCGGGGAGACCCCTGCTCCACACACGGCCAGCAAAGCAGTGGGCAAAAGCAGTATTTTTTTATACTATTGTCAATTCCCTTCCCATAGTCACTTGTTATCCTTCTATTGGATCTGAGTTCGCAAGTCTGGTTCTGGTTGGTTCTTTTGCAGGCTCGCTTTTAGTTGCCAGGTACTTCCCTATCCATAGTCTTAGGTAATTTTTCGTCCTTGAGGCCTACTGTGTGAGTCTCTTCCAGATGTCCATCTTGGATATTTTTTATCGTCTTTGCTCTTGACCCTTTGATCCTTGTCCTTCCCTTTGTTACTTTAAGCGTACACTTTTAGACAATATACAAAAGACTTATTCAGTAAGGCATAACAACTTGTTTTGTCAGCTTAGAAACTGCAGCTGCAGGATTATCAGCTTATAGTACTGACAGATTAATTGCCCATTCGGTAATTTACAGTCCACCGGCCTTAACAGAACCTTGATTACAAATATATATATATGAATATAACATGCAATACTATTAAAAGAGTAAATTACTACAACTATTACAACTATTACTACTACTAATTTGATGAGTAAATTATGTGACAACTACTAATCTATTACAAGGGGCAGGGCAGGCCGCTGCCCTCGGCCCCTGAGTGCGAGGGGGGTGTGGAGGGAATGGATTGGCCGGGCTTTGACAATCTGGCCCCTAGAAAGACTAAGTGACCTCTTCCAACAAGGGAAGACTGAAGCAAGCGGTGCCAGAAAGAACTGGAGTTTCTGGAGAATAAAACCTGGAAGTATCCCCCGGAAAATCCCCCTGGGTGGTCACTGGTCTGACTTCCACAGACCGGTCGCCTTGGCCAGGACGTCCCGGCAGTCCTGCCGGAAGTGCGTTTGCCCACGATGTAATTTCCATTTGATGCTGGCAAAGCCCTTCTGAGTGAGCGTCAGTCCCTGGAATGAGTGGACCAGGCTTCCAGGGCACTAATTCCAGGCGTTGTGTTTAAGGGAAGAGCAGGGGAACCTTTCTCTGGCCCAGAGGAGCTGCAGTGTTTCCCTCTCTGGAAGAATAAGAAATAAAAAAATAAAAACCAAACAAGAAATAAAAGAAAATGAAAAATGAAGAGAATAAAAAATAAACGAAATAAAAAAGGAAATATAAAATACAAAAGAAAATAAAAAAAATTAAAAGCAAGAAAACTAAAAAGGAAATAAAATAAAAAGTGAAATAAAAGAGAAAAAAAAACCTTGGGCACCCCGTTTACTTCCACCCCTCGCCCTCCGAACCGTAAATTGGGGGTCACCCCTAAAATGTGAGAAGAGGGCCCTGAAACGTGGGTGGGGGAACCCCAGGGACACGAAAAAGTGGAGGGGGAGCCGCGAAATGTCAGGGAAGGGCCCCAGAATGGGTGGGACCCCAGAAAAGCAGGTGAGGCGTCCGCAGTAGGAAAGCGAAGCCAGAGGGTCACGTGGTGAGGGTCCCCCAAGCTGGCGGCATCGGTGCATGCGCAGTCATTTGTGAGACGCCCGCGATCACGTGGTAATTAAGGGCGGTCAAGAGAGGGAATGACGCATGCGCGGTGACTCTCATGGCACTGCAGCGCCCCCTGCTGAATTTAAGGGCGGCACTGCAGCGAAGGGCCCTGCACACGCGCGGTGCCTGCCGCGGCTGTTCTTGGGAGTCTCGCGGGTCCCGCCCGCAGCGAGGGGAAGAGCAGCGGAGAACGGGGAGGGGGCGGCGGCCCTTCGGAGGCCTGCTCAAGGGGGCGGGGCCCGCCAGGAGGCGGCTGAACCAGCGGCACCGAGCAGGGAAGGAGCGGCCGCGCTGGGGCCTGGCCGGTTCCCGGGGCACGACGGGACTTGTGGTCTCCCGTCTCTCTCGGGGTGGGGGGGCGAGACTAAAATGAAGATTTTGAGGTGAAACCGTAGAAATTAGTGAGGGACATTCCTAGGGTAAAGTTGGGGACCGGGAGTGGGAGCGACCGGAATATTTTCAACGCCTCAGCAAAGATGGCACCCCCCGGACCTGAGGTCCTGCGAGGCCGCACAGAAAGATGGCGGCCCTCGGACCAGAAGTCCTCCAAGGCCGTACAGAAAGATGGTCCTCCAAGCCAGAAGTAAAGATGGCGCTACTAGGACCGGAAATGAGCCAGGACAACACTAAATATGGTGGCGCGAGGCCCCCTGCCTCAGAGAGGCGTCTATCCTGTTGCCTGAGCTCCACCCCGACCCGGACCTCCACCCCGCGCTCGCAGCGCCGTCTCGCTGCGGTGCTTCCCGCTGTGAGGACAGGGCAGGGCTCTCGGCGGCGCCGGGCTCTCGGCGGCGCCGGGCTCTCGGCGGCGCCGGGCGCCGGCGGCAGGCACCGGAGCGGGCAGCCCCGTTTGGGGACGCTGCGCGCGGCTGACAAGCGAGGACCCCAGGCAGAAAGCGGACCGGCGCTCAGGCGGCTTCGCCGCCCCGCTCGGCCACCCCGTTCCGCTCTGCTCCGTTCCCGCTCCCGCCCCGCTCGGTCCCGTCGTGCGCTGGAGGTGCTGTCGGGGCTGCGCCGCCGCGTTCCCCCCCGGAAGCGACCCACGGCGGCAGATCCAACGTCAGGCTCTCCAGGAGATCGTCCCCGGGGTAAGCGGGGCCCGGCGAGGGCGCGGCCGCTCTTCTGCCTCTCCCGCGGCCATCGGGGACTGCAGGGAGGGGAACTGACAGGCAAGTTTCTTGCCTCTGGGCAGCCGCACCTGCGTGCCGCCGCGAGGAGAAGGGGCGGAGAGAGCGGCAGGCGGGAGGGCCATGTTCAGATGTGCCCTGGCATTGCAGTTCCTCGGGGAGGGTCTGTGCTGCCTCAGGTATAGAGGAAGTGTATCTTGCAGTACCTGCTTATTCACTGGTTGAGCTCGCAAGTGACACAGGGGGCATGAAATCCCAGGGCAACTGCACTTGCCGTGTGGGCTGCAGGGAGAAGCAGCTGGGGGGGTTTGCTCTCTGCTCGTTCCCCACCTTCCTCTCGGTTCCCTGGGACTCCAGGTAATCACAGCTCACCTTGGCTTCTCCAGGGGCCTCACTGAAGAGTTTCTAAGTGTGGCACTGAGATTTTCTGGCGCTGGAATTGATTGCTCTTTTAGGGCACGTCTCACCGGGCAGTCTGTCTTTTAACATTTGCCGGGGCAGGAGAATTGCAGAGGAAGAAAGCAAATGAAGACCAGAGCCTGAACTAGGAAGGCCCAGGCCTCTGGCGAGCCCAGGTCTTGCTGCTTGGTGCTCATTGTGCCCGGGGCCGGCCCCTGTCTACTCGGGGCTTGTTCCTCACCGTTGAGTTCCAAATGAGAGGGGAGCAAGAGGCAGAACAGCCCGCTGCTTCTGCTGGGGCTGCTGCTGGGGCTGCTGCTGCTGGGGCTGCTGCTGCTGGGGCTGCTGCTGCTGGGGCTGCTGCTGCTGGGGCTGCTGCTGCTGGGGCTGCTGCTGCTGGGGCTGAACTGTCTGCAGTGCCTGGGGGCCAGGCAGGACTTGGCCCCGATGCCTACATTGCTCTGCAGCGGCCAGGGAGGGGTCCCAAAAGTCATCCCCCCATGTGCTGTGCTGCACAGCAGGGGCTGGGTAGCCTGGTTCCTGGCTGGGGGACCCCGGGGGAGGCAGTGGTGGGGCTGAGGGGCTGCTGCTCTCTCAGTGTCTCAGGATTTGCCTTGGAATCCCAAAGCCTCTGCCTGCATGGGGAGAAGAGACAAAGGTGACTCTAAATTGGTTTATTGTGGAGTGTTTTGGTGCTGAGTTAATGCTCTTGGCTTGTTCTATGTCAATTCTCAGCCTCAGTCAGGGCTTCCCAGGGAGCGTTGCGGCTGCTGCTGGAAGGGAGAAATCCTTTGGGAAGCTGGGAGACAAACAGCAACTCTGTGAATTGCTCAGCTTTTCCTAGGTAAGAGCAGGTTATAGGAAGAAATGCCAATACTTCCGAAAGGCGACGTGGGTCTTGCAGGACGTTTATTTTTGTCAATCTGCGCTCTAGGAGTCCTTGAGGTCTTTGGGGGTGGGGGCAAGGGGGGGCGTGCGGCTGCAATGCCGCTCCCGGCCGTGTCCGCCAGGCGGCAACTGCGAGGCAGGGCCCGGCAGTCGGGGCGGGCTTGGAAGCGGCGCCTGCAGAGAGCGAGGCGTTGGCCGGGCCGGTGCCTAAAGTGCTCGGGGCCGCTGGGCAGGGTAGTGCCCGGCTGGCGGGTGCCCCGCAGAGAGAAGAGCCCGGCCCTGGGAAGGCAGGAAACTGGGCTTGAGCTGCTCTGGACTGCTGTGGGGATGGGTTTGAAGTTTTGGGATCGCTTGTTTCTGTCCCTACCTTCCCACTAAAAACAATAACTTAAGAAGTCCTCGTCTGGACTGCAGAAACCATGAAGCCTGAAGTTCCCGAAGCAGCAAGAGCAGCGACAGCAACGGCAAAGCTGCTGAGCAGGAGAAACCGAAGCGCTTAAAGGAACTTGCTGAGAATCAAGAAGCCAGATTTCAGCAAGTGACAGCCCTGAAAGGCCACGTGGAGCAGAAAAGACTCAGCGTTGGGAAATGAGGTGAGTTGCTGCTCGGGGAAAGTAGCCCATGATTTTTCACAAAATACAGTTCTTGGAACTCTGAAATTGCAGGTGATTTCAGTGACTCGCAGGACTTATTTACAGCATTCCAGGCAATGTTAATCAGAACCATTTCACATTTTGTGTTCGCCAAGAACACTCACAAATTACCTCGGACAAAATATACTTTCTTCCTATATTTTAAAGTATGCCGTGGAAGCACCCTATATTTGGAGCCTAGCACATCTGCTCTTTATTCCCAATGTGGGCTTTTCCCCTTGAATACCTTTGTGTACCTTTGTGTACCACGGTAACTGTTTCCATCCTCGGTGTCAATACCCTGCCCATTTAGAGTGTTATTTTCTTGGCCTGTAGCAAAGCTTAGCCCAATAGCCAGGTTGCCTTTTATGCCAGAGGCGATTTAATGGCCGCATATTTGGCGGCATCTTTCCTTCCTCGTTAGTGATGCCAGTCTGCCCAGGGTCAGGCTGCCACAGTCCGACTTGGGTGCTTGTAGCTCAGCACAATGATGCCACGAGAAAGATTGATTTCAGACTTAATAGCGACACGTCTTCTGCCTAGCTTTTCATCCTCTCTCTCTCCGTATTGTGCAAAACTTGTTGCCAGCCTGCCTCGCATGAAAAGATACTGGTTTGTTAAGGGGAAATATAAATATGTTGTTTTAGTAGGAAGCCTCGTGCTTTCCATCGAGATAAAGCAAAGGAGGTTTTCTGTGGGGAGAATCTATTTTCTGTTTGAGTTCTACTGCACAAAATCAACATCAGTTTAGAGGCCTATAAGGATGCCTTTAAGATCTTGGATCTTCAAGATCTTGGAGCATATGACTCTATTTCCTGGCACTGTCTCCGAGAGATCTAGTCTTGGCACTGGCTGGAATTCTTATTGATTTCTCAACCCTTTGTTCTGGGCTAGAACCGTTCTGGCAGTGGGAGCAGCTGATGACAGGTGCTTGTAATAGACCCTAAAAAACCCTCCCAGTCTGTGTTTAATGAAACAGCTTTAGTGTTTTGTTACTGGCTTCTTAGGGCTTAAATGCAGAGTTTGAAATGATGCCTTGTGGTTGAGTGAGTGTCTTCCTGCTGAATTCAGCAGGCATTCAGTGAATTTGGGCTTCTGCAGGTGAATTCAGTCTGGTGTTGTGGTTTTGTTTGTTTCTGTACTTGGGACAGTGAACCAAATGTTCTTTTTCCCTCTCCGTCAGTGCTCTGAGGAGACCAAATGTCCAGAATGGTGCTGGTGACTTTGCTTGTGCGCCTGCCGGGTAGAGGAGCAGGTTTGGCTCTGCACAGCCCTGCTCTGGAGGCCGGCAGGGTGCTCTCTGGGTGCCCTGCAGTGCTGCCCTGGGAGCAGAGCAGCCCACGCTGGGCTGTTCCTCAGGGCAGCTCTTGTGCTCTCTCTCGTCCTTTGCAGCGGAGGAGGCGGACCAGCTGAAGAGCCTGTTGCAGCCGAAGTGGCGCGAGCTGGCGCTGGACGTGCCGAAAGCAGAGGAACTGCCTGGGCTGCCAGAGATGCTGAGAAAGGGCTGACGAATTGGTGGTTACCACGACAACCTGTCACCTGTAACTGAGCTCCACCCACCCCGTGTCCAAGGAGCTGCAGGTAATGGAAAGCCAGCTTGTGACCCCCAACTCTTAAGGGCTTTAAAGACAATTGGGTCCTTTTCTGAGCTCGTCGGGAAGAAACGCCACTGCTCCCATTCCTGCCGGGCCCATGTGGCTGCCTGCATGCTGAGGATGGAGGGGTGATGGTACCGAGTTCAAGGGAAAGGGAGGAAGGAGCACACTGTGCATATCCCTTTCCTTTCTGCAAATTTGGAGACTAACCAATATTTTCACTGGAGAGAAGACATAACTTCACTTTTTCAACGGCTTTTCTCTTTGTAACTGGTTCCCGTCCCCTCTCCTGAAAGTTCATTTGTTTTTCTTTTCCTTGCTTTCCCCTCCTGCCCCACTGCTTGGTGAATTTTTTCAGCTGAGGAACAAAGTGAAGCAGGAGCAGAAAGCCAGGCTGCAGCACCAGAGGGAGCATTGGAAGGAGCGCAGCTTGGAGGTGGCAGTGCTGGAGAAGCGTGTCAGTGAGCTGCCAGAGCGCCTGGAGAAGAGAAAGGCAACTCTGTCCCAGGGAGAGAATGTACCGGTAAGTGTGAGAGATGTCCTAACAACAACATAAATTTTGTTACCTGGACAGTCTGAAGTAAAAACTTGCTTGTGGGGGAGTTTGTTCAGATGCTAGACCTGTTGTCTTGATCCATATGTAGTGGAAGTCTTGTGTTATTAAAGTCCTTTTCATGGTACATTAGTGTTAACCTACTTACTCTTTACAGGCAAGAACTCTTCTTATGTTGTCATGGATTTTTTTTTTAAGGTTTTTGTTGATTTTTTTTTTTTTATTTGCTATTTCTACCTCAAGTTTATAATTTTTATTATAATATATAATAAACCCTAATTATATAGTTATAATGCTTAAAGCTTTTTCAAAAAAGCCTCTAATATTGAGGTATCATTTGCTACTTGTTTTGTCCTTTGTGACTTCTGTTTCAAGCTCTGGACAGATACTGCGGCATAAAATTCTTTACATTTTCATCTTTTTTTTTTTTTCCCCAAAGGTTTCTTCAGATGGAAATTCACCACAGCCAGTGGCTTCTGCTCCAAGGGGAGTGGCAGCAGTAGGTCCTTCTATCCAGTCCTCTACTATGCCACATATTGCTTCCAGACCTGAACTTTAGGTGAAAGCAGCATTCTCAGGTGGGACATGAGCCTTGCCAGGCAGCTGAGGGTCTGCTGAAATCACAAACTCCGCCCAACGTGGGAGCTGGGAACCGTTCACAAGCTAAAGCTCCTGCAGGTAAGAGCTTATGATTAATAGTTCTTATCCAGACATGTTTTGGTTCACCTAACTGCTCTGTTTTGGTGGTTTGGGGTTTTTTTTGTTTGTTTGTTTTTGAAGCAAAGAGTTACTTGCGATGTAAGTCTCGCTACTTGCAATTATTTTTTTTTGTGCCTGTGAATACATTTATAAGCAGTGAGGTTATACGGTTCAATGTTATAAATTAGGTAATTCTCTTAGTGAGCAACTGGAGTTGTTATACAGTGTGGACTGCAGAAGGATTTGCGTGTAAACTAATTATTTTTTTTATTTTAAAGCTCTCCTAAAAACTATACACCAGTGTGCGTTTGAGTTTCTAGAGTCAGTTTTGGGTCATACCTGGTAACAATCTGGTGCCTGGATTTAACAACTAGCAAAGCCAAGTTTTGTGATCATGCATTTTGGAAATGACACGTGTAAAGGATTTACCATTAGCATTGCAGGAAATATTGGAGGAGGCAGCTGATCGTAGCACAGAAATAGCAATAAAGTTACTGACTTGCTGCTGACTGAGGCTTGGCCTCTGCTACTTGGAGAGTTAATGGAGATTTGCTTGGCTTCTCCGTGGGTTTCTCCTAAGACAGACAGTTCAGTTCCATGAGAAAGAAGTGTAGAGAAAACTAGAGAGTGTCCTCTTTTGGGAGAAGACTCACTTTTCACCTGGGAGGGAAGAGAAACTGATTTTTCTCAAAAGAAAAAATAGAGAGTAAGCTCGTAGAATAATTCTGTTTATTTTTTTTTTTTGTCCCTCCCTCCATCTCCAGTTGTGGCAGATATTATTAACTATTGCACAAGTGTCTCTTGCTGGATTGGAGAATGGAGGATTGTTTCATTTCATTGGGTTTGCTGATCCTAAAACTACTGGAGTGGAATTTTAGCTCTAGACCAGACCAAATTTGAATTTTTGCTGGAGGAATGTATGGTGCTGAGCTATTTGAACTAAAACGTTGCTTCTTCCTTTGTGGTGTTTGGACACTGCGACTGCAATCTTAGAGAGACGTTTCGGTGTTTTGTCAGAATGAAGCTTTTCTCATGCTGCTTATCATTACCGTTTGAATTTCACAATACTCATTGTATTACGTTATTTAGGCTGTAGTGGAGAGAAGTTGGTGAAGTATTTAATAACAAATTGCAAGCATTTCCTTAGTGATTTTTGCAGACCTGCCTGTCTAGACCAGGGAATGTGAAGCTCAGCTGTAACGCAATCCCTCTGTGCACATTGAACAGAGGATTTTTCTCCTGTTTTGGATGTCACTGGCAGGGTCTGTCTGTGCTTTAAAGTATTGCGTTTGTCTTTGCACAACAGTGTTTTCCATGCTTTCTTAATGTCATGCCACTTTTAACTTACTGCAGATATTCAAAGAAAGTTTCCCGCTAGCTGGAAGGAAGGCAGTCTAGAGAAGTTTCCTTTCTGAATGCTCTAGGTGTGGGTGTGTGCTAGGACAAATACTTTTGCTGCTGCTTTGATGGTTGTCTCTGAACTTGGTTTGCATTCTCTTTAAAAACAAAGGACTGAAAATCTATAGGGATAGGATTTGTAGCAGTTCACCTGTATGTGATACTTGCATGCTGTCTAGACCTGTCTCTTGAAAAAAAAACTCCTACCTATAATAAGTAAATCAATAAAAACTGTCATTTCAGCTTAGTCTGTTCCACTTGTTCTCTCCTAGGTTCTGTGGTCACCTGTGCAAAACCTTCCCCATCTGCCCCTGACTGGAGTAGTTCAAATGCAGACAATCATATTGGTCAGGGATCAGCCTTGACTTCAGGAAAAGGAATTGCGACTAGTGAAGGACAAGGTATGTTCTTATGGGCTTGGCTGATCTTAAAATGTGGAGGATCTGAGCTGTGTGACCTTGCTCAGCCTCCAAATGCCAGTCTGGAGAGGCCCAGGGCACTGTTAGGATGTGCACTGGATATGCTTGACCCGCACAGGTGTCTGAATTCAGGGGATATGGCACCACAGAGGCACCTTTGTCATGTCCTCGATCTCTGCCTGAACTGGAGTGAAATTCCTGGCTGAACCTGGGCAGCTGTGTGATCCCACCCTGAAAGATCCAGTCCTGGGCAAGGAGGTTTCCAGTGGCACTTGGGTTTCCTGTGGGTGTCCAAGAGATCCTGTGCCCAGCTCTGATCAGTGGGACACAAGGCTCATGGGAGACATGTCCTTTCCTGCAGCAGCTGCACATGGTGGTTGAAGCAGGAAAAGCTCTAAAACGAGGAGGAAGGGCAAAGATCTCGGCCAAGCACAGGAGGTCTATTTTGAAATTACCATGCCCTCAGTAATCATTGTCATCCTGGGAATTTGTAACGATGATGTAAACACAACCTTATCATATTAGCAATGCAGTCATTTCTTCTGATATTGACCTCAAAGTTATTTTTGGGAGCTCAATTATAGGAACAAAGATTTCAGAACTGAAACAGGAGAGGTTCTGGCTGCACTGAAGGAAGACTCATGAGGCCAATCCAGCAGGAACAGGGCCCTGGGAACCAGTTGGTCAGTGAAACTGTGCAGTCACTGCTGGGGACAGAGGAGAAGGAAAGTCACTCCTTTGCCTCTTGAATATGTCTTTCCATTCTGTGGGTTTGTTTATTATAAATCACATGGTTAAAAAACCCAACCCCCTACCTTGGCAGGGCCTTATAAGGAGTGTTTTGCTGACAGCAAAACCGGAGCCAACCCAGCTCATTCCCTCTCCGGAAGCTCTGCTTGCAAGTGCTGGGCAGGCACATCCCCACTGCCAGGGTTTTCCTCTCCCCCACACACAGTCTGCACAAACACAGCAAAGAGCAGAGGAAACCTCTGGAATTCATTTGCTCCAGCCCCACTGCTCCAGGAGGGCTGATTGCAGGTGGTTGCCCAGGATTAGGTACAGCCAATGCAGCTGCTACCTCAGCAATAAAGTTTTGGGGGTGCATCTGTCAATCAGAGATGCTGGAAGACATCAGCAAATGCCCCTCATTCCTGGGAGCTGGGATGAGGTCTGTTCTCCTCTCAGGAAGACAAGGGTGGCAGGGAGCAGCCAACTGGACGTGGGGCTATTTGGACCTGGGCAGCTTTGGCTCATACATTGAGCAAAGTCATCCCAACAAGAAACTCCTGTGAGTGGACAAACCCTATGCCTCCTTTGCTGCTGAATCTCTCCTCTTCCTTGACATCTTCCCAGCATGGCCTAGAGCATGGTCTTAGAGAGCATATTCTAGAGAGAAGTGGAATTGCATTGGAACACCCTTCCCCCAAGGGAGGTTTTCAGAAGTTTAATGTGATTCTCTAAATAGACCTTGAGTTACTCCCCTGGCCAAAGTTTCTGCTCCCAAATTCCTGCAGAGCAATGGAGCAGCTGAAAGTGGAAACGTCCTGGCTCCTCAACCTGAAAACATCTTAAATTGCAGTGACCCCAAACCCAAGGGTGAGGCAGCTCTCTTGTGGAGCAGAGCTGTGCCCTTCTGGGGGTATAAGGATGGACAGCCCAGGGCATCTCTGCTGTCATGAGAGGTTTGTGTGTGAGCAGCTGAGTCCAGCACCCGCTGTCCTTCCCATGAGCTCAGGACAACTGCAAAAGAGAACACCAGGCTTAGGATTTACACATCTTCACTGCTGCCCTGTTAGGTTAAAACACACTTACTCAGATTGAATTTGTTCTTGTTGTTGTTTCCTTTCCTATGATGTTTCCCAGATCATCTGTGACCTGGAAGGGAGGAAAGACTCCAACAGAATGGCTTTTGCCTTGAGACAGAGAAATGAAGGGTTGGGCTCTGATCAGAGATGTTTGTCAGTCCTTCCTCCTGAGAGAGCCTCACCTGCTCTCCCAGCTCAGAGACCTGCGCCTATGAGAAAACAAGCTGTGCAAACCCTAACTGTGTCAATAATACAAGCCCATCCAGCTGTCGTTGATCTGCACAGCCAGAGAACTTCCTCCCTGAGGACACTGCTGTCAGAGCTGTGAGATCAAAGCAGGAGGGTCAGGCCTGGCCTGAGCAGCCAGATGGGTCCCCCAGCCCCCTGCAACCTCCCCCACAGTGTTGCCCTGGTTTGACCCAATGGCTGCATGTCCCTCAAAGTACAGCAGGACCCAGGGAAAGGGCGTGTGGAGCAGCTGTGCAGCAATGAGGGACAGAGCTGCTTTGGGGAGGGCAGGAGGATGATTGCTTCCTCCAGCTCCCATGGACCTCTGAGCAAAGGGGGCGATTTCCAACCCCTCTGAGGGATTTATATTGTGGGACCTGATATATGCTGGAGCCCTTTTGAGAGCAAGAGGTATCCACCTGGAACCACAAACCCACCCAAAATTGCATTGGGGAGGTGTCAAACAGGAGACAAGGGAGATTCAGGATGGAGCCACGTGGGTGAGAAGGTTTTCACCCAGCACAGACTCTGCAGGTGGGAACGGGGACAGGGGCACGGGGCTGAGCTGGGTTGCTGCCCCTCTGACCAAAACCCTCTGTGCCCGAGGGTGCAGGTGCCAGTGTGATGGCCCAGGACATCTGCAGCTCCCCAGGGGATGGTGAGTACCGGGATAGGTCCATAAATGGAGCTGTGGGTGACTGGAAATGGGAAGAAAGAGGGGCTTTGTGTAGACGGCAAAACTGGGTGAACAATTTGTCCTGCATTTTGAGGGCCTTGCCTTGGCATAGCTAAAGCACAAGCAGCAAAAGAAGCTGCGTAGCTAACATGGCTACAGGCTCTGAAGTTAGAACTTCAGAAAAGAAGACTCCCTGCCAAGGTCAAGGAGGAGTCTTAGAAAGCTAAACAAGTTTTTTCATCTCTTATGGACACCTGCGATGCTCCAATTAACACCGGACAACAAAGTATGTTTCTCTTATATATCCAGTGCTGTGTGAAGAAGAATCACGCATCCAGGTGTAGCAGCAGTATATAATAAACGTTCTTCTTCTAATAAACGGACATTTTGCCAACCATATTGGCCTGTGAGCAGTCTGTTCCGAGCCCCTCCACCAGTAGCTTTGTTCTTTGGGGTTGGTTTGTTTGGTTTTGGTTTGTGACTGTGAACCCCTGAAGAGGAAATTCTTCCCCGCCCAGATCTGAGACATTTTGCAGTCCTGAAAAAAGTAGAATTGTACCAGGCCATCCCTGTGCCATCTCTCCAGGTGACCTCCCAGTTCCTGCCCTCCAAGATCACCTCCAAGACTCAGCAGGGAGAGTTCATCTTTTGTAAGGAGTGGATGTAGGGAACCGAGATTATATGACCCTGGGAGAAACATAGAAGGGGAACTTGGCAAGATAAATGTGGAGGTGGTGAGATGTATCCTTGTGTGTGGGAAATTAATTGAGAGTAATTTTCTCCTAGACAGTGAATGCTTAACTAAAAAGTAGATATAGAGAAAAGTTACTAAAAAGAATTTACTGCTGATGTAACAGGGTATATAAACCGTGAAAGAACTGTAATAAATGATTCAATTATACCACACTCCTTGGAGTCCGTGCCCTAGTATGCCACAAGGGGGTTGAGGTGAACAGCCTGAAAGCCCAGCAGGGGCAGCTGAGCTATTCTGTGTCTTTGACCATGATGAGTGGGAGCTCAGGACATAAACATGTGGATACCAGCACAAGGACAACAGCAACCGAGTGAGAAACTCTGCCCTCAGTGCTCCCCAGAACCTGAGAGTCACAGGTGAGTCCTGGCACTGAGGAACAGGCAGGCAATACTCATAGGCCCAACAGACCAGAGGTGAGGGAGGGCACCCCACCCTGCCCCATGACATGTCCCTGGGCTCTTGGGATGCTGGGGGTCAGTGTGCAGTTCAGCCCAGCCTTTGGCACCAGGGACACTCCTCCCAGTCCCAGGAGAGAATCCTGCTCCTCTCCTGCCCCAGCATCACGGAAAGGGGACAGTGGTGGTGCCAGATCTAATCCAGAGCCACAGCTGTGCAGGACATTCATTCATTGATCCCCAGAGTTGATAGATGGTGGATCGGGGGTCCCCACAGTGGCTGAGTCTGTGCAGTACCTGGGGGACCTGCAGACTCTCAGCCTGTGCCTTTCTCCTCCCAGGCAGCAGGTCCAGCTCCCAGGCAGGGACAGCCACTGAAGCTCAGTGATTCCTTCCTCATGACCCTTGGCATAAGGCCCAAGGGCTGCCCAGCTGCCACCTCCAGGACACTGTGAGAGGATCATCAGTTGAGATCTTGCTTGACTCTAAGGGCATTTCAGCTTCCTCTCCCCATCATACCTTCTCTTGTCTCTCCTATACCTGTAAGAGCCAATGTCAAGGAAATAGGGCAGATTTGCATGAGCTGCATCTTTCCATATTCATCCAATGAATATGTGATCTGGGGGCTCTGCTCAGTGTCAGGGATGGTCCCTGCACAGGATACTGTGAGATTCACAAGCTCTGCAATTCTCTGACAGGCAGCAATGCCTCCACCAAGACAGTGCTCCCACCCAGAAGCAAGTGGTGATTTGTGAGCCCTTTCCACCATTCCTTCCTTCTGGACATGTCTTGTCCACATTGTGACCCTCCCCTCTTCCAAAGCCAGCCATTCCCCTCTGGATCTGGATCCTGTGCTGTGTCCTCACCTTGCTCCTCCTGTCATCTGCCCCCATCATCACCCTCACGCTGGAGAGATGGAGCCACTGGGGCACTGGGACTACCCAACCTGGAAACATCCCCATCCCTAGTGGGGATGCCCTCCCTGCCCTGGACTTGCTTCTGTCCCCTGTCTCTCATGAACAGAGTGGGACCAACCCCTGCCCCAGCTCCCCTTTGGGCTCAGCCCAGTTGGGGCAGTGCCCAAGGACTGTGCTGCCATTGCCCTGCTCTGCTGTGCTCAGCCCCTGCTCTGTCCTCAGACTCAGCCCTGTTGGACTTGCACCCACCCAGCTGTGCCAAACCCCCACTGATGCCCCTCCTGCTCCCAGAGAGCAGCATCTCCAGCTTATGGGAAAGGGAGAGGGGATGCAGCCATCTCCTGTGTTATCCAACGCAAGATGGTGTTCACGTGGAACCTTGATGTCTCCCCTCTGTGAGGATCTGTGGGCATGTGCTGGAAATTGCTGGAGGAGCTGCAATTCCTGGAGGAGCTGCATTTCTCCTGTTCCCCCTATAGTCATGGTTTTAGCTCTCCTGAAGGAAATGTTTGGTTGGAGAGGCCTCAAAACACGCCCAGACCCTTCACCACTAAAACACCCCCTCCCAGTTCTGTGAAATCATCTGGTGCAGGCAGGAAAAGTGTCCACACAAGTTCTCTGAGAGGGGCAGAGACAGATAGGAAAGCCTGGAAGATCTGTGAGCTGTAAAGAGAGCATGAAGTTGCACCCCAAAGGGAAAGGTGCTGCCTTTGGCCTATCCCAGGAGAGGGGTCTGGTGAAATGCCGCCCTAAGAGCGGTCTGTCTCCAGGGTTTGTAACCAAAACCTGGTTCATGGGGCTCATATAGAGACATAAAAAGGCAGCCAACATGGGAATCTTCAAAGCTCTCTTTGTGTAAAGCCTCAACATTAATGCAAACCTGTATCTAGCAACTGATGACAGTTTTGGTGCTGGAACAGATATGGCCCTGTGACCTCATAGGCACAGGCTGTTCTGGGTATAGACAGGGTAACAAGTGACATTTCATTGTGATTTATGTTTGAGAAGGATAGCCAAGACAAGAAAGGAGGGGCACTAGAAGAGTACAAATATGTGGGGAATCTCGGCTGGACCGAGACCCTAACATGGAACGAAAAGGTGACTGAGAATAGAGGCCTTAATCCTGACAACATATTGATGCACCCTGAGAGAGGAGAAAAACACCAGGAGAAAGCTGTCCCGTGAGAACAAGGACGCTGTCCCATGAGAACAAGGACTTATTTTGAACAAAGTGGCTAAGTAGAATGTAAACATAAGAAGAAAACAAGAACAGATGTGCAGAGAGACTGTGAGAAAGTAAGACTGAGAAAGTCCACCTATCAGCCGTGAGAATTGTGGTTTGTGTATTTGAATTAACCTATCTGTGTAGAATACGTGTGCCTAAAAAACTGCATTTAAGGAGCTGTAAAGACAGCTCCACGGCTGCTGCTGTTCCCTTTTTTCTTTCCAATAAACTTTCTTACTGGATACTTTGTGTCGCAGTCCGTTCCAACAGCAACACAAATATGAATGTTTGAGACTCTGGTTAATGTCTCAGCTGAGCTCAGGCCAGAGATGTCTCCCCTTTCTATCCCAGTTTACCTCCAGGGTCCCTTCATGTCTCTCCAGCCACCCCTTTGTATCTCCAGGGCTGTCTCTGGGCAGCTCAACCCCATTCTGGGAGGGACAGTGGAAGGCACAGGTGCAGCTGGGGAGAGAGAAATCCATGTTTGTTCTCCACTGGAGCAGAAGCACCTGATCATTGCACACCCCTATTGCCAGAGCCGTGTGAGCACAGCAGGGCCTCTGCCCCTGTGTGCTTGTGCATCCAGGGGAGCATCAGTGTGGGCATAGAGAAGGGCTTACCCGGAGCTGGATCACAGGGTTTATGGACACACAGGTTCAGCTGACACAGGGGGATGGAGATGTCTTCACTCGAGGTGCCCACGTGTCCATGTACAATACAGGGAATAGATTTGATAAGGATTTATCCATCAGACATTGTCAATACTTGTGCAAGTCACAGAGATCCTTTTGGTTCAAGGCATCCAGAACACATTTCTGATGGGTGTAGGAAGGGGGGGGACTGGTGAAAGGGCTGGGTGTGGACATGTTGGCATGGCCAGAGCTTGTGGGGAGGTGTTGCCCTGCCAAGCCAAGCACTGGCAATTCCCCACCAGAAGTGGTGCAGACAAGCCCAGGGGTTGGCACAGGGCAGGTTCCTGGGGACAGGGACAAAGCCACTGGGAGCTGCAGGGATGTCTGTAAACCCCATGTGCTGTGGGGCGTGGAAGTGAGGTTGTCCTTCCTGGAGTTTCTCTTTCTTTTTGACAGTCTTTATTGGCATTATCTCTAGCTAGTTATGTAACTAGCAGCTTCTGTAACTGTGTCACAAAACTTGTTTCTCTACAGCGTTTTGCAGCTTTTCCACGAATTGTAAGAATGGTTCCTGAGCACCTGGATGCATAGTGGTGCACCTTGCTCCAGGCTCTGCTAACCCTGCAGTCTGCACTAATGCTTGTTGGTTTATGGTTTTTACTTGCTCCAAAACTAGTGGTCTCCTGCGCAGCTCACACAGCTAAGAAACAGCACCAGTGGAAAGACACCACCTGACATTTAACTTTCACAATCTTTCACAAGGCTGCAATAGAATAGCAAAGTTTTGTAAGAATCTCTTATTTAACCTCAGTCCTAACACCTTCTTAAAATCTCGACACCGACGGAAAGTATTTTTAAGTTTACACAGTTACACATTCATGTAGTTTTTCTCTTTCACACAATCTTTTCCCATACACTCTTAGGTGGCCACCTCAAACACTCTCATCAATCACACACATTTCAAGCAGTCATTGGCTGTGCACTTCTTATCAATTTCATAATTCAAAGGAAATTTATGGCATAGCCACCAACAGCAATCTGCAAATCCTGCATAACTCTCCATGTAAAAGACAAATACAGCAAGAAAAGACAGGATATTATCTTGGAAATCTTCAACCCTTCTCATAGAGCAATGATATTCTGTCATAAAGGCAATAAAACTATTTCTGCAGGGGGCAAGACTACCCCTTTTGTCTCATCGTTCCGTCTGCAAACCTTCTACCTGCACCCTGCCACCGGGGGAAACAGCCAAATTTCATGTAATAGACACGAAATGGCGAACTATAGGAAATTTTTAATAACCTTCTGCAATATGCAAAAAGCTAATCACGGATGTTGTGTTATTTCTAATTTTGCTTCAAGGGATTTTTCGTCAGTCTCCCTTTCTGTTTTTGAAGAAAACATTTGAGAATGCCATGAGCACGCTGCATGCGTGTGCAAGTTTCGAGCTGGCTTCCCGCCAAGCCCCCCGAAA